CACACATTCCATATCCTCCTCCTATTCAGGACTCTCCTTCTTCCTCTGTTGCTCCAGGCTAATAGAAACCAGTTGTTGTGCCTGGGATGGCCTCTTGCAAGCTTTTAAGACCCCAGGCACTACGCAATGAGCTAGAGGTAGAACAGAAGCACTAACGACATTATTAGGCCAATTAACTGGGAGTCCCATGAAACCACAACCCTAAACCTCCAAACCAAGAAACCAAATCCCATGAGGTTTTTGGTCATACATAAGCAGCCTCACCAGCTACTCTTTTTTCTGTCGTTGTTGTAAGGATATCTATCACGCAACTTTTGCCAGTTCAACTTTTTACGGGTATACAACTTGTTGACAGCAATTACAATGATCTACTGTGCAGCTCTACCCTTAATCAATGCAATATTTTCCATCACCATTAATCTCCTCTTTCGCCCTCCCTCCTGCTGGTAACCACTTTGGTCTGTATACATTTTCCTTTTTTTTGTCTTTTTATATAAATGAGATCATACAATATTTTGTTCTTTCGTGATTGATTTATTTCATTCAGCATAATGTCTTCAAGCTCCATCCATATTTGTAGCATGTTATCAAGACTTCATTTCTCCTACTGATTGGGTAGTATTCCATTGTATGTATGTACCATATTTTCCTTATTCATTCATCTGTTGATCCACATTTAGTTGGGGAAATTGGAACACTTACCCGTTGCTGGTGAGAATGCAAAATGATACAGCTGCTGTGGAAAACAGTGTGATACTTCCTCAAAAAACTAACAAAGGAACTACCATACGATCCAGCAATTCCACTCCTAGGTATATACCCAAAAGGCTTGAAAGCAGAGATTCAAGCAGAGACTTGTACGTCGGTGTTCATTGCAGCACTGTTCCATTTAGTTTTTGACAGTTGTTGATCACTCTCCTTATAACTCTCTTTCTAGAATGTTTATTCTTATGAGAATTATGCTGAAGGATTTAGGAGGAGTGTCATGATATCTATAGCTTACTTTATAAAGGTTCAACAGAAAATTAAAAAGTTGTTAAGTATATGTGTGTATATACATATATGTATGTATAGAGAGAAAGTGAGAGCATGCACTAAAGCAAATGTAGCAAATATTAAAAATTGATGAATTTTGGCAAAGTATATATAGACACTTACTGGAATGATTTTTCAAGTTTTGTGTATGTTTAAAGAACCCTGGTGGCGTAGTGGTTAAGCACTTGGCTGCTGACGGAAAGGTTCGTGGTTCAAACTCACCAGCCACTCCATGGGAGAAAGATGTGGCAGTCTGCTTCTGTAATCACAGCCTCGGAAATGCTATGGGGCAGTTCTACTTTGTCTTGTAGGGTTGCTGTGAGTCGGAATCAACTCGACGGCAATGGTTTTGTTTGTTTTTTGTATATGTTTGAAAATTTTTCATAATAAAAATTAAAGAATATAATAAAAAATGACCAGACACCAGAAAGTACAAACGGGATTTACCTATCAGGGTGTGAAAACTCTGCTGCACTTCTATCCACAGCAGGCCAAATTACTCCAACAATAGTGAGCCGTGTTAAAGAGTAACTTTGCTCCTGCCAATGATAGTTGGATATTTTTAGCCTTAAGCTCATGTGTAGCAATCTCAAGTTTAATTTTAATTGTATTAATGAGTGAAATCAGAAATCAGTTGGGAAAAAAGAAAAGGAAAACACACACACGAAGACAAAATAAAACCTAAAGCTGGTGATGCTGCAGGGAAACTTAACATTTATTGCTGATGTCATTATAATGATGGATTAAATTGTTGGGATTGCAAACTGGCATTTTGCATAAAGAGAACTAAAAATATGGTGGCCTTTTAATCTAATGATCTTACTTCTCAAAATAAACCTCAAGAAAGCAACTTAGAAAAAAAAGTTAAGTCGGATCTCAGGATTATGGTTGTTAATATAACACTCTCCTAGGCCTGAAGGCAAAAAACAAAAACAACAATTAAGAAAAAACAAAAAAACCACAAAACATGCAAGTTCATTTGGAAAAAGTAATCTTTTCCTGACATTAACAAACAAAACAAAAGAAAACATACAAACAAAACCCTTCTCTTTTTCTTTGGATTTGTAGACTGTTTTCTGCGTTTTCTTCCTCTTTCTTCTCTTGCCTCTTAAATGTAGGGGAAGCCCAAAGATCTGCCATTCACCCTCATATTTCTTCTCTCGACTGGCAGTTTTAATTGATCTCATGGTTTCTGCTATTGGTTGCATATGAATATCTCTGAAATCAGAATTCCAGTCCTGTCCTCTTCCGTGGCACCATTTGTAATACCTACGTTTCTAACTGCTCACTTTTCATCTTTTGAATATCCTGCCCCAAGGTCTAGCTCTGTACATCCAGAAAATAATCTATTTTCCTTCCTATTGATCATTTTTTCTTTTGTCCATATTTTCTTTGTTAATCCATCTTAAAATCTTTTTGTCAGCTTTGAACTCTCCCTCTTTTGTACTTTAAATTTTAAACTTTGCTTTTTTTATTTCCCTACCTCAAATCTTTTCCCTCTCATCCTCTTTATAATTCCTTGCTTCTGAGCCTTTCTTCATTTTTTGACCTCTACTTGACCATTTCCCTGTTTTCACATTTCCAGATCTCATCTATCCTTTAAGAGTTGGTTCTCGGATTTGCCCTCCAGATGGAAGCAATCTTTCCTTCCTGGGAACTCCCAAAGGCTTTTTCTGTTTCTTACTCTCAAAAGAGTTTTGGTACCCTCAAAACTCTCCAGCTATAGCTCTGTGATATCTTTCCAGTGTGTCTTCATCATCTGCATGTGATTACCCTAGTTCAGGCCCATTGTTTTTTTGTTTGTTTTTAAAGGATGTCTGTAAAACGTCCTTAATTGGTTTCCCTGCACTTTCTCCCCTCTCTAATAAATCTTGTCAGAGACGTCTTCCTGAAGCACAGATCAGACCATATCACTTTCTAGATTAAAAACCTTCAAAGACTTGTTATGCACAAAGATGATCTTGAACTCCCTAATATAGTTTTCAGGCCCCTCTGCTATCTGGCTTCAACTTTGCTTTTTTTTATTTCTCTGCTTCAAATCTTTTCCTCTTATCCTCTTCATACTTCCTGGCTTCTGAGCCTTTCTTCGTTTTTTGACCTCTACCTGACCATTTCCCTGTTTTCACATTTCCAGATTTCGTCTATCCTTGAAGAGTTGGCTTTCCAATTTGCCTTCCAGATGGAAGCAATCTTTCCTTCCTGGGGAAACTCCCAAAGGCTTTTTCTGTTTCTTTTTACTGTACTTTGTATCCTTTCCTTTGCATTATGTTTGTTTGTGTGCATTATTACTAGTTGTTAAGTTCTTCAAGGTCTGGATTCCTCTCTCATTCTTCTGTTTCCTGTGTATAGTTTCTGGTACCTACTTAGTTCTTAATACATATTTATTAAGTAAACGAATATATGAAGAGCTATCTTGTTTTGGAGTTATTTCTTAGTTCAGAAAAAGTAACAAAATTTTGAGTGTGCTTCATTATTATATCAAAGACAGAAAAGATTGTATGTCCGATGGTGTTGATGTTGTGTGCCATTAAGTTGATTCTGGCACAGGCAACCCTGTAGGACAGAGTAGAACTGCCCCATAGGGTTTCCTAGGTTGAAATCTTTATGGGAGCAGATCATCAGGCCTTTTCTCGCACAAAACGGCTAGTGGGTTGCACTCTGACGTTTCAGTTAACAATGGAGTGCTTAAGCGCTGTGACACCAGGGCTCCTTGTATGTTCCACAGTGACCTACAAAAACATACTTGTAATTTTGCTAAAAAAGAAATATAAGAAGTTAGATATGTAGATGGGACCTTGAGGGCATTAATGGTTCAGCGGTAAAATTCTTGCCTTTCATGTGGGAGACCCAGGTTTGATTCCCTGCAAATGCATCTCATGCACAGCCACCACCTGTCTGTGGAGGCTTGCATGTTGCTATGATGCTAACAGGTTTCAGTGGAGCTTCCAGACTAAGATAGACTAGGAAGAAAGGCCTGGAGATTTACTTCCGAAACTCAGCCAACGAAAGCTCTGTGGATTACAGCAGTCCAGTACACAACCAATCAGGAGGATGGTGCAAGACTTTGCAGCATTTTTTCTGTTGTGCATGGGGCAGCCATGAGTTGGGAACCAACTTGAACGCAGCTGACAACAATAGATGAGACCTTGTATCACTGACTCAGACCATTTGCAGACAGATAAAACCTAATTTTTAAAGCCGTCTAGATGAGGCACTGGTGGTTCGTGTTGGAATTCTCACCTTCCATAAAGGAGACCTGGATTTGATTCCTGGCCAAAGTACCTTAGGAACAACCACCAACTGTCAGTGGAAGCTTGCATATTATTGTTATGCTGAACAGATTTCAGCAGTGCTTCCAAATTAAGACAGACTAGGAAGAAAGGTCTAATGATCTACTTCAGAAAATCAGCCAGTGAAAACTCTATGAATCACAAAAGTCTGATCTGCAACCAATCATGGGGCTGGCTTGGGACCAGACCAGCGTTTTGTTCCATTGCGTGAGGGGTTGCCGTAAGTCCGGGATCAACTCAGTGGCAGCTATCACAGCAGCAAGGACAACAACAGAATAGACCATAGACTTTAGCAGTATCTTCAATCATTTAAACAGTTATTTACACAAGATTTGTAGGTTGGCAATTTGAATCCACTACCCTATGGGGCAGTTCTACTCTGGCCTGTAGGGTCACTATGAGTCAGAATCGACTCAATGGCAATGGGTGTAAGAAACATTATATTTTCTTTGGTATTTCTGCAGTATACAGCTCACATTTTATGTACACCTAATTTACTTCTTGATATTATTGAAGTTTTTTTTAGGATCTTCTTGATGCTTAAATGGTACTGTGCCCTCTTACACTTCTTTTGTTAATGATATATTCTTTTTCTTTCTTCCTTTCTTTCTTTTTTTTTAAGCCCTCTATTTGTCCTGGCAAAACTTATTGTTTAGAAAATGTTCTGTTTTGCAGGTATCCTGGTCAGATATAGGAGGACTGGAAAATATCAAACTGAAATTGAAACAAGCTGTGGAGTGGCCCTTGAAACATCCAGAATCTTTCATCCGGATGGGTATACAGCCACCTAAAGGAGTTCTCCTGTATGGGCCACCTGGATGCTCTAAAACAATGATAGCAAAGGCTTTGGCCAATGAGAGTGGACTTAATTTCCTAGCTGTAAAGGTAAGGTGTTAAATTTTTTTAATGGCTACTCTTTTCCCTGCCTCCTCCCTCCTCCCCTCAGGAGAAAATGTAAAGGCATCTTAAAGAGCAGTAGATTTTTATTTGAGGTTGATGGCAATACATAGAGAGAAATAAGATATTAGTGCATGTAATCAGCAAAACATTGTAGATGATGATGAGATTATTTAGCTTCTTGATTTTCACTATTTCTTATGCTTATGTATTATAGTAACTGATCTTTAGTTTCTACATTTTTAATTGTACCAGTGACTTTTGCTTAACCAAGACCTAGTTATAACAATGATGTGAATTCACTATTCTCACGATTAGAATTTACAAATAATTTAGATACTGTACACTGTAAAACTTAACATTTTTTAAAAACACTTTTGTTGTCAGAGTATATATGTGTATGAAGTGTGTTTACTCGTTAAGAATTAGTGTCGTCAATATAATCATTAGTATTTGCATATTTTTAATTATCTTTTCTTTGGGAAGATATTGGAGAATGAAAATATGGAGAGGCAATTTCCACCATGATCAGTTATGCTGAATCACTATAGCAGAGGTCTTTAGCATTTTTTGCAGTTTCAAAGGTTGGGGTAATGAGTGATTTTAAAATTTCCAGAGACATCGTCTTAATTTTTTAGTTCTGTCCTCTTTTGTCTTGGTAACAGGCATGACATTTCTAACACTTTGTACTGCCATCTCAATTTTTTTATTCTTATATTGTGTATTCCACAATTGTGTATTCATATATTTATATTTTTCTTGTCCATTGGAAATCTAAGACATACCCGATGAGGTCCTAGCTCACAGTTATTTAGACTTGAGTCTCAAAGAAGAACACGTATGTTTTCTTGCAAATTAGTATCTCCTTCTTTTGTTGTTGAAGCCCGCAGTTCCAGATGCTACCAGGACTGCTTTCTGGCCTGTCCTGGGATAACTTTGAAAATATAAAACCTTTCAGACCTTTAGACATTTCACTTGTAGTCTTTTTTCACTGTGAGAAGATGATAAAGGCTCTTTAAAAGTTTTATCTTGCACACTACTCATGTACAATTACTAGTTAGTGACTAGTATTTGAGCTTTTTATTAAGTTTTTAATTCTTTTAGCACACACAGAAAAGGTAAGTGATGCTAAGAAATTATCTGAAGAAATTGAGTTCATAACTTGTTTAAAGATTATTTCATATCCTAGTCACTAATTTTTATGTAGTGGATTTGTATTCAATGTAGAATCTATATAGTTTGACAATATTATTCGATATTTGATTCTGGGTGGAAGATATATCTAATGAGCAATGAATGTTCATTTTACTGTTCTTTTAACTTTCATTTATGTTTAAAATTATTCAAAATAAAAAAGCTGGAAGCATAAAAAGATAATTTGTTTTTCTCCAGCATTTTCACTAGTCTTTTCTTCTTAATTTAATTTATGCTTATGAGGAGAGTTGAAGTAGCTTATATATGAAGAAGTAAAGTAAAAGAAGTTGACTATAAAACTCTGTTCTTTCTAGTTTTAACTTTCTGTAAAGAAAAATGTTACCTTTTGGTTCCAGCATACATTTTTGTTTCCCATGGGACTTAAGTGTTATAATTAAATTTGAGCTTTTCGAAATAACAAGTCTTGTACATTTTGAAAGTGGTTAGGAGAAAGTAGATATATACTGGAGTTTTCTAGCCAGTTGGGAAACACAAGTGTTTTAGACATATTGAAAGGAAAAACTCCCTAAAATTTTTTACAATGGTAATTACCCTTAGTCCCCAAGATAAAGAATTTTGATAGAAGACTTTAAACTTTTTTTCCTCTGAGTTTATAAAAGAACCCTTTAAGTTCCCCTGTGCATCTTTTCTGAACAGTAATTAAAAAACATATACTCTACTCAGTTGAGACTTCAGCTTGGTTTGTGTGGGCTCTTAATATCCTTTGGCATATGTATACGCTTTTGTGCAGATTGCAGCACTTGACATATGCTTAAGTTTAGTTTGTCATCTGGGTCAATTACGTCAAAATATTTTCCAGTTGAAATTTCCTTTCGGCTTCTTTCTTGCTTTTGGCTGGAATACTACAATAGATTAATTGCCCTTGGATAGCTAGGCTGTTTCACTTTATGAAGAATTGTCCCTGATTCTGGAAGAAGGATAGTTAGGCATCTGACAGGGATTTTCAGCAAGTCCTTTATTAGCTGTATTGGTGAGTACAGGAATGTAATGAGCTTAGTATATCCCTAGTTTATTGGGAAATTTTCTTCTTATACTTGTCTTATAGACAAATTGTACAAAATGCATTCTATTTTCAGAAAAACCTATTGTTTCTTTAAAGCAATGCACAAGTCAAAGTAATTACTATTCTTCATTTAACTAGATCCCCTATTGTTCTGATATCAAAGGTACAAGATAATCTGAACTTGGTAAATTCCAAGTTCATTTTTAGCCACTGTTTTTAATTTATGTAGGTTATTCTATAAATGATAGAGGGCAGATATTGCATGAAACTGCAACAGTACTTATTTTGTATGCAGAATGCTTAAAATTAGTTTCTGGATTACAGATAAAGATAATGAGGTTTAGGAATGCTAGGTGAGTTCTCTAAGGTTAAAGTGGTGGTGATGGAGCCGAAATTTGATCTCAGAACTTTCTGTCTCCAGAGTCTGAGCTCTTAACCACTTTATTATTCTAACTTACATTTTCCTTTATTTATAAGACTAGCATTCAGTCTTCTTCTCATCAACTACACCAAGTTACTGTGCAGGACTGGGCAACATTTTGTTCTGTTGTTCATAAGGCCATCGTGAATCACAGCTGACTCGGTGGCAGGTAACAGCAACACTGGAGTAGGTGGTTCAGGCAGTTTCTATAAGGCAGGTTCAGAGAAGGGCAAGGATATTTCTGAAACCAAGTTTGAAAAAAAAATTCTGTTTCTGTAGATCAAAGAAAACAGAAAAATAGCATGGCCTTGGTCTAGGAGTGGAAGTTGAATAAGTTAATAAGAAAGGGTTGTTGTTTTTGTTGTGTGCTGTTAGGTTGATTCCAACTCATAGTAGTGACCCTATAGGACAATGTAGAACTGCCCTGTAGGGTTTTTCCTAGGCTGTAATCTTTAGGAGCAGATCGCCGGGTCTTTCCTCCCAGAGAGCGGCAGGTAGTGTCGAACCACCAACCATTTGGTTAGCAGCTGAGCGCTTAACCATTTCACCACAAATGGCTCCTTGATAAGAAAGGGTAACCACTGCCAGAGATACAGGAACCTGGTGAATGAAATAGAAAAAGACAGGTGGTTGAATTACCTGGAGCTTGAAATTTAGCTATTTATATGTAATTTGTGCCCTTCAAACTGTATTACAGTGAAAAGACCACTTAGCCTAAGATTCAGAAAACTTTGGTTTGATTCTGACCCTGGCATGTTTTAGCTTTGTGACCTTCAACAAGTCCTCTAAGTTTCTGTTTCTTTATCTGTAAGAGTAGTGATAACATTTGTACCTTATAGGTCTTTTGAGAGTATTACATTAAAAGAGGTAAGAGAAAGTTTTGGGGAGCATCACTCCCCACTCCGTAAGTGTGGGCTGCACGTAGTGACTTCCTTCCAAAGAGTATGGTGTGGAAGGGGGAGGAGGAAGAGCAATGTTACATTGGAGAAACGTGACAAACACTATCTCAGCCAGGTGATCAAGGTTAACAGCTTCAGTGTTAACTCATGTGGATAGTGTTTGTGTGTATATATATACACCCTTCATACGATGTGGTAAAAATGGCCCTTCACTTTTATAGTATTTCTCCTAAACATGCATAACCCCTGTCTAACCATGAGAAAAACATGACAAACCCAAACTGAAGGAAATTCTATAAAATACCAGACTACTACTCTTCAAAACTGTCAGGGTCATAAAAAACAAGGCAAGAGCCACAGCCCAGAGGAACCTAAGGAGATGTGATACTAATAATGTATTGTGGTATCCTGGATAGGACCTTGGGACTGAAAGAAGACATTAGGTAAAAACTAAGGAAATCTGAATGGATTATGGACTTCAGTTAATACTAATAATGTATTGTGGTATCCTGGATAGGGCCTTGGGACTGAAAGAAGACATTAGGTAAAAACTAAGGAAATCTGAATGGATTATGGACTTCAGTTAATACTAATAATGTATTGTGGTATCCTGGATAGGGCCTTGGGACTGAAAGAAGACATTAGGTAAAAACTAAGGAAATCTGAATGGATTATGGACTTCAGTTAATACTAATAATGTATCAATATTGGTTTCATTAATTGTAACAAATGTACCATATTAAGGTGTTAAAAATAGGGGAAACAGTGCGTGTTGGGGGAATATATGGAAACTCTTTGCTCTCTGCTCGTTTCTTCTGTAAATCTAAAGCTGTTCTAAAAAAAGTCTATTAATGAAAAAATTTTAGATTGGTATCACAGTTCCAGAGCCCTGGTTATGAGCTCGCTGCTAACCGAAAGGTCAGCAGTTCGCATCCACCAGCTGTTCTTTGGAAACCCTCTGGAGTAGTTCCACTGTGTCCTGTAGGGTTGCTGTGAGTCAGAATAGACTTGATGGCAACGACTTTGGTTTTTTATCACAATTCCAAGTGTACAGAAGACTTTCAATACATGTAATTGAAGTTAAAAATTGCTTAACTTCACTGAGTTCTGTACTGCAGTGAACAGGATGGATGGAGTATAGGGAAGGAGAAAAATCATGGAAACTATTATGGATCCTGTAGGTGAGACCTTTGGAGGAGATACTCTCTCCTATCAGTCATCCCCCAGTCCATGGTGATAGTGAAAAGTTACTGGGAAAGCCCTGATAGGAACTTGGCTGGGGAGCCCAGGTTTGAGGCTACCCTGAGTTTGTCTGTTTTCACTGCAGTTCTCAGTTGAAGCCTATAAAGTTATGTGTTGGTTCTGGCCCCAGACCCAGACTGCAACACTATAAAGAACTCTTTTTCTTAGTACTTTGGTTATTTTTTCTTTCACCTTGGGTGCAGCTTCT